GTATTAAAACACAAACAGTCTACAATCTAGAAGGCAAACCTAGAGACACTTGACTAGGCGAACAGGTGTTTGTCAGGAAACCGAAGTTTTTGATGTAGGTCTTGCACCACTTTCACACCGCAGTGCTGGCTAGCCAAGGCCTCAGAACTGCCATGGATGGCAGCGGCTGAGCTGTAGGGCAGGACAACTGGGGAACCCAGCACAGCGACAGCAGCAGAGAAATAACCATATCTCGTGGTCTCCAAGGCAAATCTACCCCTTCCCCACTGATTCCCTAGGAATCACATATTCGAGCATACATGAAAAGCTCCCGGCAGGAATCCTATCTTTAATAAATTAACAGCAGTGTGATACTGTCCTTTTCCCGAGATTATCTTTAACATGACATCGTTTAATCTCTCGCACTTCAGCTGCACCCTGTTCATAAAGCGGGGAGCAGCCTGGAAGCACACATCCTGGTGTCTGTACGCCACTGCCAGCTTCTTTAAAGAGAGAAAACTAAACCTCTTCGGCTCAAAGTATCAGACTAAGATCCTTTAAGGAAAAAAAAAAAAAAAGAAAATCGACAGAAAAGTGCCACTTCGCACTAATACACCCGATAACCAGAAAAACCACAATCAGACCAGCTGATAAGAAGACGAGCCGATGTTTCTCTGGTTTGGAAAAAAAGGGGAGCTGCCTGATACTGAGCAGAGAGACTCCGGCTCTCCCACTTCACCTTCCCCGGCACCCGGCGAGGCGCCCGGCGGCGCGGACGTTTCTGCACTTCAACAGGCTTCAAGTTACGCTGCAGCCCCCCCCGGGGCTCGGCCACCACTCCCCGGCCCGCGCCGCGCCCGGCGGACAGAGGGTCGGGCGGGGGTGTCCGCGCAAACCCTCGGCCGCGGCCGGCCCGCGCCCTCCCCGGCCCCGCCGCCGCGGCCCCGCTCACCGTTCTCTGGCCGCCGTCGCGGAGGGCTGCGGGGGCGGGGGCAGGGCGGCCGGGCGGGCAGGGGCGGCCCCGCGGCTCGGCCCCGCGGCTCGGGCCGGCTCACACGTCAGCCGGCGCCACGAGACCCGGATCTGCCGGCTCCCGGCGGCGGCGGGGCCGGGGCGGCGCCGCACGGTTCCACCCCCAGCTCCCGCCCCTCCGCCCGGCACGGGAGCCTGAGCTCTGCTGTGAGCGGGGGCAGCCGCGTCCCAGGCCGCGCTGTCCGGCAGGCCGGGCTCTGGGGCTGCGGTTGCGCGGCGTGCCGGGCGGCCGCAGTGCCGAACAACGCGGCGGCCATAAAATAAAGCTCCAAAAGCTCAGCGCGGAGAGGACGCAGGGACGGGACTGCTGTGGGGCAAGGTGTGCCTGCGGGTCCGGCACAGCCCCCGCGGCCAGGGCTCCGCGCCCTCGTCACAAGCAAGGTCGCTTCGGTCGCTTGGCCCCAGCCACCCCCACCGAAGTACGAGGGAATTTACAGTGTAGTTTCTCATCTTGAAATCTAAAACCTGCTCAGGAGCTCGTGACTCACGAGCCTCTAAGCAATTAAAGCATCCATGAAAATAGGTATTTAGATGCTGTGAATGAAGTTAGAAACGAAAATCAGATTGTGGCTTCTCTCTCAGCCAAGGAGAGGGAGTGTCATGCTCCCAATACAGAAAGATGGACCACATCCTGTCTTGGGGACGCTGATACCATACAATAATGCAGTGTGGCTTATACAGAGAAGAAAATCTTGTCCTCCAATATTTCCAAGGCTGTTCTACCTCCTCCAAGCCAGGTAACAAGGACAAGTACTTCAATTAGAGTGAGAAAGGACGGTTGGATAGAAGTTGCAAGTGCTCTCGGGTCGATACCTCTGACCAGTGCTGCATAGTCTCATATGACCAACATATGGCTCTTCTCATGAATATTTGCAGTTGTCCTGGGGTTTTCAAGCATCCTTTCATGGCTACAGTTTTTTTTCCAAAAGTTTTTCCTAACTTTGGGTGTCTAGCCTATGTTACTTTGCCAAGTCTTGGATGTACTGCCAGTTGGCAGTCTTGCATGCCCAACCATCACTGGTGTATGGAGCCACAATTCTCTGAAAGATGCACATAGAGTAATTCTGCTCAGTTAGGGCTAGTCCTGGACATACCCATTCCACTGCTGAGAGGCAACAGGAAGGCTGTCTTACTAGCAATGCCACGCATGTGGTGACCATGGGCTGGCCAGCCATAGCTGGGATCAACCTGGGGCAATGGAAAGCAACACCCTGAGTTCGGGGATATTGTTTTAAGTTAGGGAGAGTTAGTGTTGGATCATGGGAGTTACTATGTTAATATGGGTTATGTTGTTGTTCATAATTGTTTAGAATATTTCTAGAAAGTTTGAAACTAGTGTATATAAGTTGGACCCTTTGTTCAGGGTATTAGTGTGTGGCTGCATTCAGGAGCACTCCAGTGTTATGATTTAAGGACCCTCGGATTTTCCACCTAAGAGCCGTCACCCACTCTTTTCTTCCATGCTAACCTGTCACAATTGTTGCCTGTCCTTGCAAGTGTGGGCTGTGCAATGCAACACACACAGTCCTGACTTGCTGTGGAGCTTGCCTCTCCTTTCCCATGTTTTAGTCCTTTCTGTTGTCTTAGCGCCCAACTAAGCAGTGGCAATACTGAAAAGGAAGGTAAGGCACTGACACAAAGCCAGGCCATCACACAAAAAAGCTAAACTATGCAGAACTTGTATCATCTTGTTTACCTCAATCCAGGGAACTAACCCTCTGGTAAGGCACCAGGGATGCTAAAATTTATCTTTAATTTGGAAGTATGAAACTATATCCCTACAATGTTTCCTGGGAGAACAGGTTTCTTGACAGCTTGTTCAGGAGTTTGGACTGCAATAGGAACCATGAATATCAGCAATATCAAGGTACACTTGGCTTGAAGTATACTTTGGCTGTCCTGGCCAAACACTAAGCTAACCTAGACAACCGTGTCAGAGGGTAGTCATAGGAAGAATGTTCAACTGTTAACTGCATCCTTCCTTCCAGCTCTCCCTCAGCCATTCTCCTAACCCTTCACCAGAAAAAAGCAAAGGCAGCTCCTCAACACCATTAAGTAGTCCTGCCTGTCTCCCACACCTCATACACAGGGCTAGCCATTGTTCTAGAAAATGGATCTGAGATCCTGAAATCCACAAACCAGACACAGCTTACCATGAGTCCTGACTCAAACAAGAGAGGAGAGAAAAGCCAACTGCACCAATAGCAGAGACGAGAGTTCCTCCTGCCAAGCTAAGGCAGGAATGCTGAACACTTCTATTTTCTTGCCAAACAGCACTTGGACAAAGTCAAATAGTAGTTGCTAAAATGATAACAGGCACATTTGGAGGAACCATTGAAACTGGTAAGAGAATCTCAGTGATTCATTCTTGGAGAACTGAATTTGAACAGTCCTAGAACTGGAAGGGCAAGACTAAGTGAGCAGGATCAGCAGCATGAGATGCCTTGTCAGAAACAATATGAACCTGCAAAGAGTTTATATAGGAGAGGCAGGAGCTGAGAGTGATGACAACAGAGTGATCTACAAGAAACAGTATGCAGTGTTGGCACAGCTAGAGCTGGGATGTCTTCCTCACTTTGAGCCAATTGCAGACCTCAGTGCATAATATCTTTCTGGCTCATTTCTCACATCATCCCACCCAGGTGCTTGCATAAGGTCTGGTAATGTCTTGAAATTGTGCCTTGAAGAGGTGTGCAAGCAGCACCACTTGCATGACCAGCCAGCCCCACTGGGTGAGATAAAAGCTACCTCTCCCTACTCTCATTCCTTCACCCCACGTTGTTGCTGCAAAGCTCAGCATATCTGAAAATAGTTTTACATATCTGATCTCAGTAAAAAGCTGAGGGTTTTTTCCAGTATCCTGCATTATTTGCATTGCCTTCTGACAGCAAAATAGCAATTTTTTTTTCTGATTTTTTTTCTTTGTTCAACATATACATTTCCGTTGGCATACTTATAAATATGGGAAGCTGATGGGCCTAATGAAGGATGGATTTGTGAAAGGTTTATCCTCATGTATGAAACTTCAGAGGATGAACTGTCAGGGAGGAGGGACAGGCAACAGGAACCACAGAAAGCAGAGACTAGGAGCAAGAGAAACAATGCATAAGCTTACTGCTTTCAAATCAGCAAGAACATACAAGTAAGCAGAAAGTAGCTGAGTATTTTACATAAAACATTCTGCCAGAACATCCCTCAGAATTTGGCCCTCCTGGTTCTCACGGGCAAATGAACAAGCCATAGCAGGCACTGATTCTGTCTCAGCTTCCCACTCCCAGGCTTCAGCCATCTGCTCCCCCTTACACTCACAAATTCAGTGCACAATACAGCAATAAAACAAGATCCTGATATGGAGGCTATTTTCAGACTCACTCTATGAAGTCTCCATTCTGGCAGTCAAACTATGATGAAAACAGTGATGACTTTATGAACAAATCCATGAGATGCATTCAAAATCAGCTAGTAGTAACAAGGACAGAATAGTCCACTGATTTTGGCACACTAAAAGCATTGTGCTGCCCACTGCCAAGTTAAAACTATGACTACAACTCTGATTAAAGGGCAGAGGATGGTAACATTCCTCCTACCAAAACCCTGTACAATGGAGGAGGGTGGAAGTTGAGCAAAACTTACTATGATACTCTCTACATTTATCATCTGAAAGTAGTGCGAGTTGGGCATTTTGTAAAGCAATAGGCAGGTGTCACATTCCACATCCCAGTGCTAGCTTTCAACCTTTCTACCCCAATAGGCAATGGTTAAGTAGGAGTCATGTTGGTGATCTAACTTGCCAAATAATGAATGAGCTTGTTTGCAGACACCCAAGAACATTACTTTTCCCATTATGAAGTTGTTTTCCTGCTGATGTTCTTCTCATCTTTGCTGCATAAGCCATGTCACTAGGCATTGCATTGCTGACATCCAGGTACTCTGTGGAGAGGAAATTGTTCATTGCACTTTGTGCAGTTTCATCAGACCTGAAAAATTACCTAGAAATGGGGTGAATCCTCCTAATGTAACTCCTTTTCTGTCTGAAAAGAGCTCCTCTTTTCTTGTATGCATTTCATAATAAGTAGATAATGTTATTCCTAGAAGGAATCTACAGGAAACTCTGCTGCAAATTTTGATGCCAAAGAACCATTCAGAAGAGGTCTGCAAAATGGCCTGAAAGTGGCACCTAGGAAGCAGAAAGGAAAAGTTAATTAAATACCATTATAGTATCAAGGTAAGAGAGGCCTTTCGGCAGCAACACTGGAATTTTTGGAAAGGGTAATCTAATTTGGGAAAAAGAAGCCAAGTCCTTAGAAAAGTTGCCTGCAAGCATTCCTAGAATTCAGCTGGGTTGGCATCTTACAAAGGTCTGGAGAATTGAAAAGCACTTTGGGACACTAGGCAGCAAGCCTATGAATTGGCTGGCTCAAAGACTATAGTGTGTACTTATGTTAATTTAACCAATATTTACTCACGTAATAACCACTGAACCAAATTTATACTGACAGATTTTCTGTCAATGTGCAGATCTAAACTTAAACACTCAACCACAGTTGTCAGAACTCTCAGAAAAAATATGGCTCAGTGGAAACAAGAAACTCCATTGAAATTGTCAGAGGATCTATGGAGGATCATTCGTGCTCCTGAAGCATCAACACACCGACACAGACTTTCGTGATCAATTAGCCACAGTCTAGGGAAAATGACCACAAAGGATTGCTGCAGTGCTGCCAGACCACAGCTGCCTAGTGAAGTTTTTCAAACTAGGAAATGGATGAAGGGAATCTGAAGTTGAGGGGATGACAAGTATTATATTACACTTAACTAGAATAATGACTAGTAATTTAGAGTAACTATGAAATGCAAGCAGGCCAATTGGAATGTTTACAAGGTCAGGCTTGCAAAAAGCAATTTAAAAATAGAGGATTAAATCCTGAGCCATCAAATTGTTAATGATAACACTCACTGGTAAAGGTACACCATCTGAATTAGGCTGAAATGGTTCTGCAGTATTAGAATAGTATGTTCTCAGTAACCACATAAGTTAATAGTCCACTAAATTTCATTGATAATTATCCAATCAGTATTTGGAACATTATTTTGTAATTGCTTTGGGAATCCCCTCTAAAAATGTGGTCTAAGTGAACCAACACTGCTATGACCTTAAAAATTGTTTTTTTATCTGGAGCAGATTGTGGAGGCTTTCTCACAAAGAAAATACGAGAAACAGAATTAACTGCTTCATAAGCAACTGTAGTTCACATAAGCTATCTGCAGCCATAAATTTACCAGCAGCTAACATTGCTATATTCATCTGAAAACTGCTGCCACTCGGGAAAAACACATCTCATGTCACCCTCTCTGTTCAAAGCCATTTCAGCATTTAGTTTCAAAATGCCTCTGAACATGAGTCAGAGTCCTCAACTGTTACAGTTCTCACAGACTTGAAATAAAAATTAATCCCTGTTCATTTCCAAGTGAATGCCTAATAGAAGAAGCTATATCTGATAGACAAACCACAAGCTAAAATGCAAGCAAGCAGATTTGATATTAGGTGCAGAAGTGAGAAAATGAAAACAAGATCCCAAAGGATTTTTAAAACACTTTACTACATATAACTAAGAAGCAGCAATAAGTTCAGATTTTCTGGTCATGAACTGAGAATTACACTGATCTGAAAGGGATATATGCAGTTTGCAGTTAGTATTAAGCACTTGGTATATGACTGAAATTTAAGAGTACCATCCATTAAAAAGCCAAGGCATTATTTACTAAGAAAAAAGATATGATAAAAAGAAGACATTTCATGTGTCACTGAGGAGGTGTATCAAAAGGTATAACTCTGCCAGTCAGTGCTTGAAGATCTGTACTCTATCACATAAAATGTGGCAGCATCTCTATATGGACTACAGAGAACTAATTCACATTATTGGAAAAAAATCTTATCTGTTATCACTGTAAGCAATACTCTCATTTCTGTAGCACACTCAACCATACTTTTTACTTTGGATATTAGAACATGAATATTGACAAGTGTGCAAGAAATGACTGTTCTCTTAGCTGGGCAAGTTCTCTATAGACATAATGCAAGGTTTTTAACTTGTGCACATTTGCTTTTTGAACAATTTTTGTTTGAGGATGTGGTATGATGCAGCTGGATGTTTGCTGTAGTATGTCACACCTTTTGAAGAGGAGCTGTAAACCCTACAAGTGGTTTAGTGTAAGAAAGAAAATTCCGCTTTACAGAACTTGACAACACTGTCTGGTCAGGAAAAAAGAATTCTTCTGTAGTATACCCTCAGCAAGTTTGCTGACAGCACCAAGCTGAGTGGTGCAAACACACTGAAGGGAAGGGATGTCATCCTGAAGTACCTTGAGAGACTTGAGAAGTGTGTCTGTGTGAAGCTCATGAAACTCAACAAGGCCAAGTGCAAGGTCCTGCACATGGGTTAAGGCAATCCCAAGGACAAAAATACAGGCTGGGAGGAGAATGGATTGAGAATAGCCCTGCTGAGAAGGACTTGGAAGTGCTGGTGCATGAGACACTTGACATGATCTGGCAACATGCACTTGCAGCCCAGAAAGCCAATTGTATCGTGGGCTGCATCAAAAGTGTGGTCTGTAGGTCAAGGGACATGATTCATCCCCTCTACTGTGCTCTTGTGAGGGGAGCCATATGGAGCCATATGAGTCCATATGGACTACCATATCCAGCTTTGGGTCCCACAACATAGGAAGGACATGGACTTCTTGGAATGAATCCACAGGAGAGCCACAAAGATGATCAGAAGGATCACCTATCCTGTGAGGATCAGCTGAGAACTGTTCAGTTTGGAGAAGAGGAGGTTCTGGGGAGACTTTATTGTGTCCTTCCATTACCTAAAAGGGGCCTACAAGAAGGGTGGAGAGACTTTTTACAGTGGGTTTATTAGGATAAAATTTTTAACTGTGAGGATGATGAGGAACTGGAACAGGTTCCCCATAGAAACAATGGTTGCCACATCCCTGGAAGTGCTCAAGGCCAGGTTGAATAGGGCACTGAGTAACCTCATCTAGTGGAAGGTGTCACCCATGGCAGGGGGTTGGAAGGAGGTGATCTTTAAGGTATTTTTCAACCCAAACCATTCTATAATTCAATTGAACTCACACTTCACTGTTCATAAATTTTGCAAGAACACCACATTGATTGAGGGAAACCATTTTGGTATTTGAAAGTGTGAATTTACATTTTTGGTGTTTAAACAGATTTTTGTGGTTACCTTTTGTTAAGCTACTAAGGTAATCATTAGACATAGATGATGTCTCTAAAACTGAAGGTAATTACTGAAAAAAAAGATGGAAAGATTGGAAGCTGAAGCTGTATTAAAGCAGAAGCCCAACTCCTTTGTAGAGAAAATACTGAGGGAGCCAGTCCCTTCACAATGGTGCCTAGTGACAGGACAAGAACTAAACATAAGAAAACACTTTATTCTGATACTAACTGAACATTGATAGAGGTTTCCCAAAAGGGCTGTGCTGTCTCATATCCATAGAGATATCCAAATGGACATGGCCCTGGCAAGGCAACCTGCTCTGGCTGACGCCACTTTGACAGGAAGGGTGGTCTAGATGATCTCAAGAGGTCTCTTCCAACCTTGACCCTGCTGTGATTCTGTGATACTGTGCCACTCAAGAGGGAGCCCAGGACTAGATACACCTGCACAGCACTTCCACTGCAATTTCTGTAGGAGTGAAGTTATTTGGAATGAGTGATATTACGATACAGGGATAGTATAGCACCTATAAATATGTCTGCTGGGAGAGTTAATATCTTTTATCTCTGCTCTGTGTTTGGGGAAGGGACCAGCAGCATAATATCACAACACTCCTAGGACTAAGTTAGAATCTGTAAAATCAAGAGACAATCATACAGCATTACTGAATACTTCCCAGTATGACTAACCTCTGTTTGGGGAAAGAAAGATACAGTCTAGAATACTGCCTTTAAAAGCTACTTCCAATTTACCATGTGATCTTTTTGCACTGTCAAAAAGATGGGAAAGCTGTAACGGGAAATTTTATGAGATGGATTATACTTCAATGAAACTGCTATAATTGCTACCCTTCATCTGAGACAAATGTTCAAGACAAGGAACTCCTTACATCTAAACTAGATCTTCCACATAAACAAAGACATATGCTACTGCTGAAAAGACAGACACACAGAATAGTAGCGATTTTCTCAATACTGCTCTATGAAACATTGCGTACTTGGCAGAAATCCACAGACCAGAGAAATGGCTTGTATCTGCTGTGTTCAGGGAAACTGTACATTACTCAGTACAGGACACTATTTGAGCCTTGTTTGTTTAACCTGACTTTATCCTCAATGTTCTCTAATAAATTGCCAGGTGCAGTGTTCTTGCTAGCCACGTGGACAAACTGAAGACAATCAGGTTAGGAAAACAACAAATCAGATTGTCCTGACTTCTATTCTTGAATTGATCCTTACTGGTTTCTATGATTTGAAACCTGATCAATTAACTTTTTTTACAGAACTATGGTGCTAACACTGACTAGTGATTTAAACTTAAGGATTTAACTCTAAATTATCATTCTACTGTAGTAAGATCAATAGAAAAACTTGGCGGTTTTTTCCTGATACAAAATTGTTCTAGTCTCCAAAATGCACCTGTTTTAGGATGGTATCAATATCAATATATCTGCAACAACAGAGCCTGATAAGTTACCCATCTGTCACAGCTGAGCTCTTTCTGGATGATTTCTGACAAACTTCACTCTTTTGTAAATTTTTGTTGTAGACAGTTCCAAAATACTTCCATCAGTTGTGGATTTGCTGCCCACCATAACAGATTATACTGTAGTTTAGCAAAATTAATTTAAATTTAATTTATTTTTAATTTAGCAAAAATGTCATTAGAAGTAAGTTGAAATTCTAGATACAATTTTCATAAAGCCTCAGAATCAAAAATTGCTGGATCAAGCAATAATTACTGAATTTAAGAGCTCCAGATTGCTTTTTTATTATTAGTTCTACCTTTCAGGATCCCTAAAAAGTCCCATGCTTTACAAAACAGAGAGACCATTGAAGGAATTCTTAACAATTGATACACAAATCTTACTGGAGTATGTTGTCTCTGTGGCTTAGCTTGTAGTAGTTTTCTGATTTTACTGCACATATTCTTGTATTATACTATGGTTATTCATACATCTTTAATGCATATTCTTTTATAGCTGGAAACCTTTTCTGAGGTGGGACCACCTCATAAGACTATTCATAAAACTATTGCCTGCAGGAGCTTAATCCATCTCTGCAGCCTGTGTTGATGGCTCTGTGTCTCAGGTTATGTACATTAAGAGGAAAAGTGTCCACTCTCATCCTTTTCTCCAGAGAAGACACAGCAGTGATGCAGATCAGTTTGCAACATAAACTCCCTGAATAAGTGCTGCCTATCTGCTCAAAGGAAAACACAGAAAGCCAGTTGGAGCCATCCCAGAGTCACAAATGTGATATATATGCTGGCAGTTGGACCACTTTATACAGTAAGCTTCCTAGCAGTCAACTTATCTACACTGTTAGGAATATGAAAATATTTTAGCAGTGATGACCACTACCAAAGAAAGAGGGCTTATTTTGAATTTATTCTGAATTCTCATGTTCATTCAATTACTGCTTCACAATTTTTTGCTGCTCCAGTTCTAATTACAAACTCAAATGTCCTAATGAGAGACACTAACTCCACCCCCTAAACAATCACTTCAAAATATTAATGCCATTTTATCCTCTCACTTACTTGCTGCATTTAGGCACTTCCCTGGCTACCATTGCACTAAACAACAAAGTTAAACTTTTAGCTAAAAGGTCTGATATACTTCAGTCCTGATGACTTTTAGAAAATGGAGGTTTACTGAATATAAGTCTGGAACTGATTTTAGCTCCTATAGTCATTAAAATAGGAGCAATTGTTATTCAGTCACAAATCCTAAGGCCATGAGGAGAAGATAATGTCCAGTTGGCCAGGAAAAGCTGTCCAGCTGGCCTTTTGAGGCAGATCTAACTCCTTTTTGTACCTTTCTATGAAAGAAAGATCACAATATTTAATTAAAGTTACATAGATTTGATAACATCTAAAAGTTATTACATTAATAGATGATAATACAAAATACTTAAAATGATACAAATTCTTCACTCAAGGTAGAAAATGTTTTTTGAGTGGACAACAATATACCAGCAACATAATATAGTGACTAAATTCTTTATACCATTGGTCAGATCCTCTCTTCCCTCATAACTCTAATATTCATAAAACTACTAATAAAGCCACGTTAAGTTGTGAAATCTATTTCTTTACTCACAGCTTACTTTCATTTTGAAAGGATCCTCAGAAAGACTGCTATCTTCTTTTTGTAATAGCAAGAAAGGAGCAGAGTTTTACACCTTTTTCTTTATAAGAAGTACTTCTAGCTCCCTGTAATCAACTTGTCAGTCTGTGGCTGCCGAATTTTCAATGTAGATGCCTGATCATTAAGAATATTAATCAGCTTGTGAGCTCCTGCAAAATACAATAACTATTTCACAGCTGAACCTAATTTTTCCCTCCTCTTTTTTTTTTTTGTTTCCTTCATGAAGCCATAAGAATTGGCCCAAGGACCCCTAGGTGTATGTACCATCAGTTGAAAATCACTCCTCCACAAAAAAGTGGAAACTTAAAACCCCAGTAATTTTGCTAACAGACTCAAAAGCATTGGGTGTCTTTGTATCTAGGTTTTCCTACTAGAAACATCAGATTCAGCTGTAACATTAATTTAGAAGATACTGGCAGACCAATATCAAATTAATGAAAAGTCCAGGGTGATTTCTACTAACAGCCCTTAACAAGTGAAGGACAATAGGGTGTTATTAAACCACAAAAAAATCTGCACATTCATTATTTAATGAAAAATTTGCTATGCCATAAATTGTTTTCTGACGTAACTCCACTAATTCAGATGAATTGCATCATATGAATTCAACCTGAGTGACTTCACTCTAATATTTAGTTAGAACCCTTACTGCCTTTTAATGCATATATATTTCATTTGCTAACAACAGGAAAATTGTAATTTGGTAAGTGCAGGCATCTCAAGTGAATACCTTCTCTCTGTTCCTGAACACCAAATTTTTTGGCATTTCTGCCTACAGAACTCGTACATGTTTTTCATCAACATCTTTACAGGCAAGGCTGGATAAAGCAGTGACAGTACCTTGAGCTATTTGTAACGCAAGGAAAGCTTCCCAAAGGAGGGAGCCGTCTCAGCCGAGCAAGGCAAACTGCTATGTTCCACCCAGGAGAGGGCACTCTTACACCTGGCCACGCAACCGGACATGGACACCTATAGGAGGAACAGCAAAGTTGACATCTTTAAACTTGGTCAACTTGCACGACCAGTTAGTTATTTTTATGATAACGCTAATCACAGGTCAGTTGAATCATCCAGAGGCTGCCACAGGAAAACAATATGACTGACAATAAACGTGCATGCTAAATTTATTCTTAGTCTCCAAAATGTGCCGAGTGATACGCAGATAAAAAACACAATTCCTGCATTTCTCTGCTAAAAGCTGGGATCATAGAGAGCTGTAGGTGTACCTTTCGCAGAAAATGAAGATTAAATTTAGAAATAACCTGGGTTTATGAATATAAATTGTTGCCTTTTTAAAAAATAAAGCACTATTATAAATGAGTATACAAACATTTTAATGCAAAGTGCATATAATGTAATAATAACTCAGCTTGTAAAGTTAATCCTTATATGGACATCTCATGAAATAAATAAAATAAGAATTAAAAATGCTACAGGTTCAACCCCTGTTTCTAAAGGGATTGAAATCAATATACATATCTCTTGAGACAGCTTTCCTCTCCAATAAGTAATCCTCCAGCAACAAAGAGAGAAGATCAAGCCTGACATTTTTGATTTTTCTAAACTAAAGCCAAGATGAGGAGGTGGTAGTTTTGTTATGCAAGAAATAAAACAGTAAAAGAGGAATAGAATGCTGCATACTGCAAAGTTAATGTTTCAAAAATCTCATTTTCCTCTAATCAAAGGGGACAATCTCTATAATTCCAAATTTTCTCTAAGTAATTCTACTAGAAAAACTTCCTATTGATATAAAAATAATAAAATTAGGAAAATATGGAAATGAGAAAAAGATCACCAAGAATCTTAACGTGAAGAATGGAAAGTAAATCATACTTAATACTGTCATAAGCATCTTGGAGTCCCCAGGCAGTACACTAGGGCTGGGGGCATTCATAGTCTGAGAGGGAAGAACCTTGCACATGGGGCTATATTGGATGTACAGTGAGTTCAATGTGCACAAACTTTGCATGAGCCATAGCCACTTTTCCATGAAAATGTGGGGAACTGTTTCCTATATATAGTTTGCATGATAGACAGTACTTCCCACATTATTTGGAAAGAGACATAGTGTTCAGGATGTTTGGTTGTCCTAGCATTGGCTAATGAATATTGTTATCCTTTCTGTATTGATAGCTTGGGCTGAGGCCTTAACCACTGACCCTATCACCTTTCTCCTGCAATAACCTTGCATAGTTTGAACTTCAGCCATATCTCCTGCTCCCACTTCCAGAAGTCTTTCAAAACAATATGCCAAGCATAATAAACAATGCATAGATACAATACTGAGTATCTCCCACTCTATTAATTGTGATCAACACCAATGGGCAAAAGCATAAACCAATCTGCAGCCACTTTGTAAAAGCTGCTATTGAAAGAGCTATTCAGTAGGAGACTAAAATGATGACAGGATCAATGAAAGAACTATGTCCTGAAATCATACATGCTACAATTTTTTAATTCAAAAAATGAGCTCTGTTCAATGGACTACAGTTGTACATTTTGTGTATGTATTTTTCTAAGAGCAAAAGACTAATGAGAACTTAATTCAGGGCTTTATTATCAACATACCATAAAATATATTAGGGAGTCAGACATAGAAGCCAATGAAATCACACAAAGATGCTATCTTCTCAATTTTTGTATAAAAAATGACCTTTTTTAACAAAGCAAAAATAAAACAACAAACAAGCAAACAGACCTCCCCCCAAAAAAACCAAACCAAGCCCCAAAACACCTATTCAAGGTCTATGATACTGTTCTAACCTAAAACCCTATAGAATCTTCTGTAAAATAATAAACCATAATAAAGTATAAAACAGTTCAAGAGGCATAAAATGATACTCCCAGGATGCTGATTACATAAGGTACCGATTTTTATGTAGATTTTGATCCTGGCAAAACTCACAAATACTCTGTTGTACCAGCAAAAAAGCCTTTCTATATCTGCCTTTCAGCAAAGAGAGAATTAACAGAGTATATGGTGAATATGAAACAGTTGTAAGTGAAAAATGCCTATTTAAGGACAAGGGAAAGGAATGGAGTATACCAAGGAAAAGAGATACAGTAACTCATATTAATTTCATTTTTGCAGTAACAGACTCTGACATTTGTAATCCAAATGAGCACATGAAAATGAACCTAAGTATAAACCAGACAAAATCATTGCCCTTTACCATGGCTGTTACTGGATGTCTACTACCTATCACGTAAAAGCATACTCACAGGAACACAAAGGATTTTGACACTTGATAAAGGTCATGTTTTCCACTTCATTCAGAGCAAAATCTGAATATTGGAAGCTTAGTTTCTTTCTGTGAGCTGTCTGAAAAGACACGAAGGATTTAACCAGGAGATTTTATGTATTACCTTTATTATTGTAATCTATAGTAGTCATAGTTTCTCAGCATGCTACTAACCTAATTTCATCTAAGGGGGAAAAAAGGGTTATTATCCTTTCATTATTGGTGAGAGCCAAGAGCACAGAAGAGCCATGGCCTATCTCCTCAAAAGGAATTTAAAACATATCAGTGGAACTTGGATGTCTAAATTATTCTGAAAATTAAGGTCCAAGATCACACTATTAAGTCATTAAAAAGAAACCAGGTCAACTGCAAAATGGTCCTTTTCATAAAGGTATTGAAACCCTCAGCTGAAAATCTGAATTGTATAATACATTTTAAAGTTTTCAACTGAAAAGAAATTAATTTGATGAACAGCTGCATATGGCACAACATTTCTGCAGAAAAACAAACTTTTTCCAGTCAAACTACAGGGGAAGAGTAAACACCTTAAAAGGACTATATACATCTGTATATAGTCAACAGATTTAAAAAAATTATTTATCTTTTTGCTTGGGCCTATACTTTATTTGTAGTGTATATAACAGTCAAAATGCTGTGTATAATAAGGGAGATAAATGAACAGCACTTGCAGGTAACAGCCCTACCAGAAGTCGACATTTGTTGAGATAAATGTCCATGTTGTACGTTGTCCTGCACTGCACCGTTAAAAGGGGGCCCTATAAAATGTTTCTGCAAACGTTAATGTCTTGGAACCATCTAGTTCCTGAATAAACAACAGTTCAAAATCCAATCTCACGTTCTTCTCTGAAAATCTATGCTCTTCAAAAACATACCTTATTTTATACACCTCAGGTTAGAAGTTATGATTACTGTTACCATATTTCAGATGTCAGAAGCGAAGCAGCATCTGTGGGAGCCCGTATTTGCTTCTGCAATAAAAGGCCCATTAGACAGGCCTGACCTTTGCTTTTTACTCTGCTTTTAAAACATTGTAGTAGAAAAGAAGCAGTTCCTTTCACTGTCCTCGTTAAGTAACCTGTTTCTGGGCCTGCAAGTTCCCCTGGTCTCGTGTGAGGAGGCACCAGTGTCTCCAGGGGGGAGGGGGGAAGAGGACGAGGAGCAGGTCTGGGAGAAAGACGTGTAAGGAATAACATTTTTCTCTGCTGAGCATAACGGGGAAAAAGATAGATGAGAACCGCTGTTAAGGGCCCGGGTGAGCGTATTCTCAAGTTATGTGAGAGACCCCCGGTTCTTTTTGCTCGGGGGCTCCACCGGCAGACATACCAGTTGCTCCTTGCGCCAGCTATTTTCTCAGCGACACCTCAGACATTTCTCCCGATACCGCGGACCCGGCCCAGCCCTCCCAAGGGTGCTCCTTCACCCGTTCGCCGGCCCGGTGCCTCAGGGCTCACCCCGCTGCGGGCACAGGGCCGGCAGGGAGCCATGACGACACAACGGCCTCAGCTGTATCCCGGGGCCCGCCCGCGGCGGGGCTTTGCCTGAGGGGGGTGCCTCCTCACGCTCTCACCAGGGACCCGCCGGGCCCGTGACAGGGCGAGCGGCTCGAGCAGGTGTCTCCGGGGACGGGCGGGTGGGCGGCCAGCGGGGCGAACCCCTGCGCCTCCACAGGTGGGCAGCGCACCCCTCCTTCGGGGTCAGCGGGGTGGAGGCGGCCCGGAGCACTCACGCCGCAGCCGCCCCATCGGCAGCGTTCAGCCACGGCCCCCCCAGCCCCGCCGCCGCCCCGGTGCTGCTCCGGCCGCGCTCCCGCGGCCCCTCCTGAGGAGCAGCGGCGGCCCTTTCGCGCATGCTCGGCGCGGGCGCCATTTTGGTAGGGCCGGGAGTTCTCCAGCGGAGCGACGGCGGAGCTCGCTGGGCCCGGCGCGGAGGGGGCGAGGGGTGCCCGCTGCGGAGATGGCCAACATCGCGGTGCAAAGGATCAAGCGGGAGTTCAAGGAGGTGCTGAAGAGCGAAGAGGTCAGAGCCTTTCCCCCCTCCCCCTGCGCGCCATCGCCGCCACCCTCCCCCGTGTGAGCGTGGGCAGCAGGGGACGGTGCGGGCGCCCCGCCGGCCTTCGCGGGGACCCCGCACCCCCCTCGGCCCCACCTCCCCATGCTGGAGGTGGGCCCGTCCCACGGCATCTGGGAGGGGAATGGCGATTCCTGGGGAGACGGGGCCCGCCAGCCGTTGGGAGGAGGAGGAGGGGGCCGTAGGAAACGCGGCGGCAGGGCCCGAAGAGGCTGGGCGGGCCGGTCCCCGGCGAGGGCTCCCGGCCGTCGGTGCTCGGGAGCGCCGCCAGGCCGGAGGCGGCGGGGCGGGTGGGGCCGGCCCGGCCTCCGCGGGGACCCCCGGAACGCGCCCTCCCGCGTCCGCCCGCGCGGCACCGGGAGCGCCGGGAGGGATGGATGAGGCGGATTGGGAAGGGTGAGATGGGGGTACGTGATCCCATACATCCCCTTCAGCTGACCACTTTGGCTCGCTAGTGCCAGAGGCTGCAGAGTACGGGTTTAATGTTTGGGGGTTTTTAGCGGTTGCTATTAAACCCCCATTTAGCTTCCCTGTATACAGAACTTCCTTTATCCCACTGCAGGCTTACTCACCTTCAGATAGATGCTTTTAAAGCCTCATTCATTTCAGTCATGTTACCTCGTTTCCTGATCAGTATGTTCAGAGGTATGTGGTGGTCAGTAAGAGGCTGACTACTTCCAGGGCAGCAGTAGAGAAGTTCTGATCAGTTTGTGGGAATATATAGCAGTGTTTGTAGGGTTGCATCAATACAGCTTTTGCTGTGTCTGTGTCTGAGTTGGTGGACGTCAGCCAGATAGGTTTTAATGGTTGTGTCGTCATTGTCGTCCTACTTGGGATGATGTTGCAGGTTAGATCCTTGTGAAATATTAATGTGAATATGTAACTCTTAAAGCCGGTGTTTCAGAAATCTGGACATATTCACAGAGAAAAAAAGAGAGGATAATTTTTCAGAGGTACTAATGGCTTAAGGGAAACACGTTTGTGGTAGCAGTAGTTGATGTTTTAAATTTTAAATTGTGTGCTAACAACACTGTTGCTATGCAGTTTGAACCAGCCCCTAGAAAAATGTAAGGGCCTTGTTTTACAGTTGCCTTTAGAGCCCAGGCTGATTTTGCCAAGCTGTTGCACAGCAAATACAGAATTGCATGGAGACCAAGAGAAATTTCTAGGTGGATACCTTTATACCAAAGCTAGAGAATGTAGACCTCATACCCCGTATAACCAGCTGATACTGTGGAAACAAAGAAGTCTATTTGGAAGTGCTTTCTAGAGGCTTGAAAAGCCTTCCCCTTTGCTTTATGTGGGAAAAAAAAACTAAACCAAAAACCAAAAAACCTTAACTTACATAGGTTTTGGGGGAGCTCCATGGTAAATTTTCTTACTGTAAAGGTTGGATGCAGTGTGCACATTTTTGATTGTTTCTGTTTGTTTAGTCTGCAGGACTTAGAATTTTGAAAATGGATAATATTATAAAATAGCCTCTGAGCTGCCTAAACCTAGCTAGAAATAGAGGTCTTAATTCTTATGAGATTCAATTAGTGGAATTTCAAAATCATACTACAGCAGACTCTTGATATTTCTTTTTCTTCTGCCATTAGTGAGCTACATAAGTGTCATGCTGATATATTAGTATAAAATTGCTGTTTACAGACTATACTCCCATGTCTTGAATGCAGAATTTCAGCATTACTCAACAGTTACCAAAGTTGCAAGCAAAGTTTTTTTGTGAATGTACGTTCCAGGGCAGTCCAACTATGGTGTCATTATCACTGGGTGTGAAAACATGTGGAGTGGGATGATGAATGAAGGTCTAACTAAATACTACAAATTACAAAACAAAAAGGAGTTTTCTTACTGTTTACTAAGATTATCATTAAACCTGGTTTCTTCAAAAAGAAATGTATTTTTTTTGTGAATGACAATGCTAAATTTGTTGTTTAGTAGTTTGTAAGTCCCTCTCTGAAGGCAAAGTGGCTCACATCATCTGTTCTTAAATTATTCTTGATTTAATGCTTTGAACTAGTTGAAGAGCGGCCCTCCCCCACCCCCGTTTCCTCATAGACATAATAGGAGCACAAATGCCTGGGAAAGGGATAGGCACACTGGGAGAAAAATACATAGAAAGTTTGTTTTCTGTCTTTTTCCACTACTCACCTTTATGCTGAAATGCAGTGGTGGAACCAGAAATGTTTTAAAAAGGGAGCAGCTGGATGGCAGTTAATTCCTTCTGCATTTGAAGTATGTGTTGAAAGTGCTAAATTCCAAATTTTAGAAGAAAGAATTCTGTAAAGTGTGTTTATCCTTGCTATGGATAAGGATCTTGCTACTCAGGACTAAATATACTTTTCATATTACTTAGCACTTCCTGTTTCCTTGAATGCAATTTATGAGAAATAACTAAAACATGATATACTACCTTGCTCTCTGGTTTACAGATGTGAGATGAAGGATCTTCCATATTTTTAAATTGAGTCTGGGACTTTTTGAGTGTTTTGCAAAAGTATTTAAAGTATTTTTACACTTGGGGAAAAGTGCTTCTGCTCTGCTTGCTTTTTTATTTCTTGTTTTGTTATAAACACGACATTATGTTAAGAAGTACGGTATTGTTTATTTAAGAGAGATACCTGTAACTTTGCATCTCTTAAATATTTGAATTAAATAGAGAAAACAAACTTAAGTTTCTTTGTCAGGAGTGCTCTCTAAAGTATGATTTTTAAACTTCTTACTTTTGTGTATGGAGAAAGCTTTAGAATTCTAAGGCAGGTGAGGCATTGTGCATCTGTAACAAAGATGACGTCGTTAGCCTAGGTAGTGAATTGACTGGTTAAGTATGTGTAAGCAAGGGATCAGATGGTACACTTTATTCTTGTTCTGAATGAATAATGAAATTGTCATTTCATTAATCTTTTATCTTGTTGGTTTTATGGGCTGAAATTCTAAAGCTACAAAATGTATTTTGGACAAAAGTATGAAGCCACAGCATGATGGAGAAACCAATAAAGACATGGAAGGAGAATAGTATCCCTCTTTTACTAAGTAGGAAAAAGTTTCAGTGAAGGTTGGCTAGTATTATTTTTAGATTGTGTATTTTTTTTAGATTAAGTGTAACTTTAGATTAGGTTACTGGAATGCTGCAGTGGGTAGCCAAATCCTTACCTGCTCTTTTTTTATAAGCAGCTATCTTATGAGAGGGAGAACTTGCTTGGCATTTAATAATGAATAGAAACATATTGAAAGATCTTGTGGTTGCTTAAAGACTGATGCTGAGACATGTTGTAATTGATCAGGTATGTTAAACATTACGTGTGACTTGTTTTTGTAATTTAATAAAGCATCAGTGTTTACTTTGAAGAAATTATACTATGCTGGCAGTGAAGGATTCAGTGTTTAATTTACCATCCACTTTCTTTTATCATGTGGAATTATAAGGTGTTTTCTACTAATTGATACCTTTTGCAGTGAAAACTCTCATCTGATATCGAACATAGCTTCCTCCTAGCAAGACGAGAATTGCTGGTATATCTACCATGAAGTGTTCTTCTCTTACAAATATGAAGAGACATTTATGGCAGGTTCATCCAGGTAGAGCTGAGAGTAAATTTCACTCAGCTGCAGTTATGGAATATGAGTATCTTCATGAACAGATATCTGAAGTAGCAGTTGAAATTTTTAACTAGCTTGAACCCAAAACAGCATTCAAGTGAAGATAGTAGGTTAACAACGAAAACTTCAAGTACTTGATTTCCAAGAAGGAAATGAGTGTTTGTTTCAGAGTCTGCTATGTGTTTCAGTGATTTGCAGGCAAAAGGGAAGGGAAGAATAATTGTAGTCTGCTGTACCTTTCCTAGACATGTAAAGACCTAGTGAGTAGCTCTCATGTTGGTTTTTATCATTGCCTGTAATGGTCTTGTGATTTATGTCAGTATATAGCAGAATACTAAGGAGCATGTCTGCACATTTCTTGCTGTTTGGAAAAGCTGTAGATATTTAATTTTCAGGCTCAGAAAAACCTCATAGCTTTAGTTCATTTACATTTGGGCAGTCTTGGGTGCTAGATACTGGATTCACTAATGTGGAAACTCCCAGTTGTAATTGTGCTTTAGTGTTAGTAGGATTCTTGTTTTTCTTCCTATTTATCCTATAGAAGCTCCGGTGTGCTAAAACCCCCATCACACACTTTTTTAATCATATGCAGGCCTTCTGAGAGACTGAGGAGAGACTGGTATCAATATAATAATGACACTCTAAATGTTCTTATGTTTACTCCTTTTTTTACCTTTATGCCTTTCCATCAACTAAGCACACTCAGGCTTTATTCACACAAACAGTTGTCCTGGTTTTGGCTGGGACAGAGTTAATTTTTTTTTTAGTAGCTGGTACAGGGCTGGGTTTTGGATTTAGTCTGAGAATAATGTTGATAACACACTGATGTTGCTGGGTACAACTTACTCTAAGTCAAGGACTTTTTAGTTTCCCATGCTCTGCCAGCGAGCACATGCACAGGAAGGTGCATGGCCAGGACAGCTGACCCAAAATGGCCAAATGGATGTTCCATCCCAGAGAATGTCACACTCAGTATAGAAACTTCGGGGATTGGCTGGGAGCTGCTGATTGCTGCTGGCATGGGCTGGGAACAGGTGAACAGGTGGTGAGCAATTGCACGGGGCATCCCTAGTCTTTCTCTAGTTTTATTCCTCTCTCTTTTAGTAATCTCCCTTTTCATTATTATTACTATGTTTTGCTTTATTTAAATTATTAAACTGATCTTATCTTGACACATAGGTTTTACCTTTTTCCAATTCTCTTTCAGTCCATGTGGGAAGTGGGGCATCTGATTAAGCAGCTGCATGGTATTTAGCTGCCCCCTGGGATTAAACAGTGATAACAATCCCACTGCACCCACTAAACCTCTACTGACTTCCGTGTGACTATTCTTACAATTCAAAAGTTAAGCATATGTATCAGCATAAAATGGATACTGTTTAAACAAATATGATGCTGACTCAGGAACCATAATAGAAGACATCTCGTTCTTATAAATACCTACATTGATTCTACAGGATAAATAGGAAGAAAAACAAGAATCCTACTAACACTGAAGCACAATTACAATTAGAAGTTTCCACATTAGTGGATTCAGTATCTAGCACCCATGATTAAAAAAGTGTATGAGGTGGGTTTTAGTACACCGGAGCTTGAGGCTGCTATGCAAAACGAGATTTTAGTAGTCTGGAGAAATGAACATCCTGGCAGGAGCCTTTTGAATCTTAGTTGAGGTAGGTGCCAGTTCCTGCACCTGGGAGGAAGTAACTCCATGCATCAGTAAGTACAGTCAGGAGACTGACTGGAAACAAAGTAGTCTAGCAGGAAAAGAACTTCATGACCTAGCAAAGAGCAAGCGCCACAATGATGGTGGCAAAGAAGTCCAACCACATACTGGGTTGCATTAGCAAGAATATAGTCAGTAGGTTGTGAGAAGTGATTCTTCACCTCTCTTCTGTGCTCGTGAGAACATGTGTGGTGTTCTGTGTTCAGATGCATACTCAAACTGAGCAGAAAATTGTCAAGGTGATGAAGGGACTGGAGCACAAGATGTGTGAGAAGAGGGTAAAAGACCTGATGTGGAGAGAATTATTGAGAGAGACATATTCCTGTTGTCTATAAATACCTAGTGAGAGGCTCCTGGGAAGAGCCAGACTTGTCTCAGAAGTGCATGGGAATATGGTA